TTTCTTGCTTTAAATCTATTCTTAAAATTCACTTATTTTCTTATGGGCTTTTTCCTAACTGGTGTTTCTTATTGCTTTATAAATTCATGTACAATGTTAGATCCACATAAATGTTATTAGTAGCCTATTTTTATTATTATTTAGAACAAATATAGGCCTATAACTTCTGCCTCAATTATGTGAATCTGAATTTGTTTTAAACGTTGGACTATGACACAATTCTCAGTGTTTTTGTTCTGCTGATTTAAAGCCCTTTAATGAAACGTGTACATTTCATTTCAGTTTATGATTGGATTACAAAACTGTGTGTTTGTGTGTGAGTGGCAACCCAGTGACTTTGTTTACATGCTCACGAAAATCAGTTTGTTAATCAGATTATGGCAGGAAATCAGATGATGCATTTATCAACAAGAGATAAGATGAGAAGTACTTTATTGAATCTCAATGTGGGAAGTGTTTTAGTTGAGAACAGCTGACAGAGACAGAACAGTTGATTCACTCAGAATTTGTATTAAGTCTGAATTTTTAGATAAATAAGTTAAGAATTGTAAAAAAGTGCAACATTTTTGTAAAAGGGTGAGATTTATTTGAAAAAAGTCAGACTTTTGATAATAAATAGTCCAAATTTATATTAAAAAATCCACATTTTTATAGAAAGTCTGAGTTTTTTCCAATTTCCAATATTCACCATCATATGCTCTTTTTAGGTTTTTACTAACACTGTAATCCTGATAGTTATCCACCAGTTCAGTCAGACAACTCACGTGTTTCCTAATATGTTTATTAGAAGCAGCATATAGTTTGAGTTTGGCGTCTAGGCTCGGGCCTCATCACTCCACAGATTTACAAAGAACATTGAGTGATGATTAGATAACTATCCCCCGAGCCTACAGGTGGAAGCATGTGGTGTGGTGAAGTGTGTGTGCTCTGCGTGAAATGTAAAGCTTTGGAGAGGTTCGAAGATTTAAAGATGTGTGTGTGAACAAACAAAGCCATTAAACAATTTGGGAATAACATGAATCTTGTGTGTTCTTCCTGTGCTGATATATCCCTTTATCTCTGCTTCCTGGGACACACGTCAACAACAACAACAACAATAACCCTTCAACTGCGTCAACGAAGAAACACAAAGGAGTTTTTATTTAGATTATTATGGATCCTTTTTTCTTAGGTCACTGTAAGTATTCGCTGTAATAGACAGACCACCTTTTTGGATATGTTACTAGAGTTGTGTTTTGATTAGATATCTTCTGATGAACTAATTAACCAATAACAAATGTAATTAACATTTTTTCTTTTTTTGCCATCTCTTTCTGATTTCTTACAAACCTGATTCCATGAATGTGGTTATTTTTCTTTCTCGTGACTTGAACACCTCTTTTGAAATCAAAATGTTCTTGTTTTTGTATTGATATTTTTTACAAATGTTCTTTATATTTACATTATAATGATTTATTTTTCTTAATATTTTTAATACATTTAAAAAATAAATATTTTATCTGTTTTATATTGTTTGTAATGTTTTTTTTGGTGACATAATTAACTATTTTACATATTTATTAATATTAGTATTTTATTATTGTATTTTTTTTAATGTGTTTTTATTTATATTTATTACAAATATTCTCTTTCTTATCTTTTGGATTATGTCCGATGCAGTCCTTCTCCATGCACTCATCAACCTTCATTTCTCAGTTTATTCATAACTTTTTTAAATTATCTATGTGGGGGAAACTTCTGTGTAGCAATGCATTGGGAGTCACCGACTCAGGAAGGAGACACGGTGAGAGTTGGAGCTTTGATGTCAAACACTGATGGGTTTATTCAGAGTATTCGGCCGGAGGATTCACATCACAAATCAAAGAGTCAGAGGTTCTGACTTCACGGGAGAGTTGCCACATCAATTCTGAAGAACCTCTCTCTATGCTAGACCTTTTAACTGGTTCACAGAGAGTAATCAACATCTCTGAAGGAGTAGACTAAACAGCTGGGAACACTGAACCACTTGCGTCCGACACTCATGGCCTCAAAGATTTCACATCTTAGAGTCCACAAACACCAATAAAGAAGTGCCTCAGCGTTCTCACAACAAGTACCATTCGTGCCAGACAAGTTGACCGGTCACAAACTGGTGACAACAACACATATGGCACCAAGGCCTTTCCTTAAAGGAGATAACAGACGTCAGAGTAGATGATAACGTCACAGAGCAAAAGGTTAGATATCTAGCCCCCGCACAATGGGACGCACAAAGTCCAGCTTGTCTCTGATTGGCTACTCTGCGAGCGGTAACTCTTGAGACCCGTTGTCTGTGAACGCCTCGTATAAAGCAGCAAACATCACTTTATTTTGACCTTAGAAGGATTGTTCCTGCAGGAGGACGCCTTCCTCGGCTTCTGTGTGCAGGTAAGTTCTCTAATACATTTAATATTCAACACATCTGTCTTTATTTCATGTGTTTCCTCAGGTCTGAGATCTGTCATTCATCTACAAGGTGAATTAATTGATGTGTGACCCAGTGGGCTTCTAGAAAAGGGATTAAGGGTTAAAGGACTATTTGAATTAATGTTTAGATAATAAACTTAGAAGCTCAGCAAAGTGTGGATGTTAAAAATATCCGTCTCTAGAGAGCATGAGGATGCTTTCTTATAAATTCAAGGGTCAAATATGCATTTGAACACATTCATTATTAATACTGTTTATTTATTTTTTTATGTTTTTTGTAATATCTATAGTTATTATTATTTATCAGTATTAATTTAACATTTTTTATTTTATATTTTTTATTATTATCATTAATTTAAAAATATTCATTTTATATTTTGTATTATTTATCAGTATCAATTTAACCATTTTTATTTTACTATCTTTTATATTTTTTAAATGTGTAATTATTATTATCCAGCAAATCTTTGTTATTTTTATCAGTATATTTATTTTATTACAAATATTCTAGTTCTTATTTTGGGATGTTTTCTTTCTTTAGACCCTACTTCATGCACTCAGCTGACGATATAAGGTGTGATAAAAACACTGGAACGCATGATGACAGTTTCTTCTAAATTCAATGGTCAAATTGTGATTAAAAAGCAACTCACACAGAGAACAAGATGATAGGCATCTCCAGAAGAAGCTCTATAAACCTTTAAACATTAACATTTGTAACCCTTACTAACCTAACAATACTAATCTTTATTGTTGTGTCCACTCATCTCTAAAATCAAGGATTGACTGTCACTCCACATCCAACAAAGTCAATGTTTTCTCAGACAATTTCAATGTCATTTATCCATCTGTAATCTCTCTATTTCACATGATACCGAAGCAGCTGTTCCACCAATCATATGCTTAATTCCCAAACTATAAGCCCCGCCCACAAAGACTCTGATTACACACTCCATTCTTGCATTTAGCCTGTCTGCATTCTCCTGAGGAAAACGTGGACAATGCAATAATCCAAGGTCTGTTTCATGACTCTGATCACAATCAATGCAATAAAGTGTCCTGGAGAAAAGAGCATGGAGAGGACTCTTTAAAGTAGAGACACTACATACTGATATACACCTGAACATCAGCAGGAGAGGACTCTTTAAAGTAGAGACACTACATACTGATATACACCTGAACATCAGCAGGAGAGGACTCTTTAAAGTAGAGACACTACATACTGATATACACCTGAACATCAGCAGGAGAGGACTCTTTAAAGTAGAGACACTACATACTGATATACACCTGAACATCAGCAGGAGAGGACTCTTTAAAGTAGAGACACTACATACTGATATACACCTGAACATCAGCAGGAGAGGACTCTTTAAAGTAGAGACACTACATACTGATATACACCTGAACATCAGCAGGAGAGGACTCTTTAAAGTAGAGACACTACATACTGATATACACCTGAACATCAGCAGGAGAGGACTCTTTAAAGTAGAGACACTACATGCTGATATACACCTGAACATCAGCAGGAGAGGACTCTTTAAAGAAGAGACACTACATACTGATATACACCTGAACATCAGCAGGAGAGGACTCTTTAAATAAGAGACACTACATACTGATATACACCTGAACATCAGCAGGAGAGGACTCTTTAAAGTAGAGACATTACATACTGATATACACCTGAACATCAGCAGGAAAGGACTCTTTAAAGTAGAGACACTACATACTGATATACACCTGAACATCAGCAGGAAAGGACTCTTTAAAGTAGAGACACTACATACTGATATACACCTGAACATCAGCAGGATAGGACTCTTTAAAGTAGAGACACTACATACTGATATACACCTGAACATCAGCAGGAGAGGACTCTTTAAAGTAGAGACACTATATAGACCTGAACATCAGCAGGAGAGGACTCTTTAAAGTAGAGACACTACATACTGATATACACCTGAACATCAGCAGGAGAGGACTCTTTAAAGTAGAGACACTAAATACTGATATACACCTGAACATCAGCAGGAGAGGACTCTTTAAAGTAGAGACACTACATACTGATATACACCTGAACATCAGCAGGAGAGGACTCTTTAAAGTAGAGACACTACACACAGATATACACCAATTTGTCCCATTGTTTTGATGAGTTGATGAGGAGGGTTACTTTAAAAATGCATACTTAACACTTGGGGTTTAGAAGGCTGGCAATAAGAATAGCATCAACTAAAATGTTTTGTTTGGGTTATGTGTGTGATGTTTTATTATATCTGAGTGTTTATTTGTATACTGTCTATTGTCATCATTTTGTTGTATGTATTTATTTTGGTCTATTCCTTATTATATTGATTTGTTTTTTTTACTTGTATTTATATATATTTGTATATTTCATTTTTATGACAATTTATTTATTTATCTTTTTGTCGTATCTTTCTGTTGTTTGTCTTTGCAACTTGTTGTCATGAATGTTGGACATACTGTATTTGTGAAAAACTGTATCCTTAAATCAACTCTAAAGGTGTTCTTTTAGACACGCGGTGAAGATGAAGTTCGAGAACATCCTGGAGGAAATTGACGGTTTTGGACCTTTCCAAATCGTCATCATCGTCCTGCTATGTGCCCCAAGAATCGTGCTGCCCTGTCACTACATGTTGAATAACTTTATTGCGGCGTTACCTCCTCACCGCTGTGATATCAGCACTCTGGAAAATGGAGGACTCTTTAGAAATTTGACCCAGCAGCAGAGACTGACCGTCAGCCTTCCTTTAGGAGAAGATGGCGGCTTCAGATCCTGTGAGATGTTTGCAGAGCCACAGTTTCAGCTCCTGGTGAACGGATCCAAACTCTTTGAGGCGACAACGGTACCGTGTCAGAGTGGATGGGTTTACGACAACTCCACCTTCACCTCCACCCTGGCAACAGAGGTAAGGACACAATGCTTTTATCAGTGATCAAACATTGTGTGAAAGATATCATATAAAACACATTTCAGCGAGCAGACGTTTTGACTTCACCCAAAAATAATGTAGGTGGGGCTAAAAACATTCAAGATATGCCCAAAAGATTATTTTATTTATTCTGAGGAAAAAGTCAACATTTTTTGAAAAAAGTCAGAATTCTGAAAAAAAGTTGGAGGTCTGTAAAAAAGTCGGAATTCTCCTAAAAAGTTGGAATTTTGAGAAAAAAATTGAAATTTTGAGAAATGTAAAAACATTCGTAATTCTGACAAAAAAGTTGTAATTTATAGACGAGAGCAAAACGCGGGACCAGTAAGGAGTTTTAGAAAAAAGTCGGAACTTATTTTTCTGATCAAAAAGTCAGAATTCTGAGAAATTGTCGAAAATTCTGAGAGAAATGTGAGACATCTGATAAAAATAGTACTGAAAACAAAAAAATCATAATTCTGAGTAAATCAGGATTTTAAAGGTCCCATGTCATGGCCATTTCTACTGATCATAATTCCATTGTTGAGGTCTACTAGAATAGATTTACATTGTTCAACCGCCATTACAGCTAAAGATCAGTGTTTATGTGTTACAATGGCGTTTGTTAGCAACCAGAAAATGACACCAATAACGACAAACAGATGAGAATGCTGCGTGTGGTCTGGGTGCCGTGTTGGCGGGACGTTGCGGGGCTTGCTGCTCCGCCCTTTGACACTCGAGGAGCGGACAGTGTGAGCTGGATTACCGGTGTCGTTTCCTGGTTGCTGCGTGGGGTCTGCGAGATAGTGAGACACCGCGGAGCTCAGCCTGAGCACACACATACACTCACAGCCAGGCTGTGTGCGGAGATCCGCGGAGCCCAGGTCCATTTGGAACTGGGTATCGTTACGTCACTATACTCAGGAAGAAAACAAATGGAAAAAGATAAATCTCCAACGAGGTGTTCTGGGGCAGCATAGACAGGTCTTTTCTGTGTTAGAGTTTTACTCGCTACAGGGTGTACTTTGAGGGTTTGTGACTTTGCAGACCGTTTACATGCATACAACGCTACATAACACACAAGGGGACGGGTAATAACCGGAAGAGCATGTCATGGGACCTTTAAGATAAACGTCTTAATTCTCAGAAACAAACTGAATTCTCACAAGGAGACGAAGTTATGAGAAAATGGTTGTGTTTGAGGGCCCTGCATGATGAAACAGATAAACTGATCTGATGCTGTTTTCTCTGTGATCTGCCTCACAGTGGGACCTCGTCTGTGATAGGAAAAGCCTGGCACAAACCACAAGCTCCATCTTCTTCTTTGGAGTGATGATCGGCTCCATAGCGTTTGGATTCCTCTCTGACAGGTGAATATAAAGTGTGAAACATATTTGAGTAAATGTTACTTAGCTTCTACCACTGGTCTTCACTTTGATGGGAAACTGTGCCACAAACAGAGGTGGGAATGAGTGGAGTACAAATACTTCGTCACTGTACTTAAGTACATTTTTCTGGTATCAGTACTTTACTCCACTACTTATTTTTCGGACAACTTTTTACTTTGACTTCTTACATTTTGAACACAAATACCTGTACTTTCTACTTCTTACATTTTCCAAACAGGCTGGTTCCTTTAGTTTGAATGTGTGTTTGGTGGCGTGATCATTATTATTTAGAGTCATTGCGTGCCTATTGATTTGAACACGATCCGTGTATCCATCATTTCCTGGTCTTCTCTAAAGAAGAGGGACCAATGAAAACGTTGTCATGTTGCCGTTGTTCAGCATGGAAACATTCATTAGCTAACAATGACATTATTGTTCTATTAATATAAAGGGAGGTCAGGTACTCTTTAAAACAGCTGCTAGTTATGGGTACTTTTTACTGAAATACATTTCAAGTGTAAGTGTGGCAATATGAAAGAAAAATACACACTCTAATTTAAATAGTTTTTATTAGTAAATAATGATGTTCAAAATAAAATAGTCCCTCCGTTGCCTTCTGCACGAAACATAGTGCGAGGTGGTTGCTATGCAACAACACTAACAGCTAGCGAACATATTTGACAGAGAGCGTTGATCCATTATTTGGCTATTTATTTACATTAATGTGTATGTTGCCGTTTATTGTGCAGCCACTGAAAAACTGTCCAGCATCAGTAGCATGGCTTACGTGGTTACTTGTATAGGTTGAGGTTGTTCTAGGCTGTTGCTTGGCGTGGCGAGAATATTGCTCCACTTTCTCCGGTCCCCGAGATTCGGCTTCCAGTAGGTCTGGAGAGAGCTTTCGCATCTGTGGTCACTAACAGTCATAATTTCTCTGCTTTGTTTCAAAACATTCAAGACCCGCATCAGAAAGCTTTTGAATGGTGGTACTTTTCCAGTTGGTTTACCTGCTCTTCACGTAGCTCTGCATGTCGTCGTTTAGGTGCTTTTTTTTCTGGAGATAGGCACTGCTCAATCCACTCCTCCATAGTAAGACCACCCCGGAGGTCGAAGTTAACCTTAAATGTTTCCATCTTAAGCTTTGTAAGTTTGTTTCGTAACGGACGAAATGTAAATATATTTATAAAACGGACAATTCAAATCAGGCAATCTGATTGGTCGATAGCGTTTTTGCAGACCTTTTTGATTAAAGATTTGAAAACATCGTTGCTTGCTTTAAAAGTAGCACAATTCATTATGTCAAACCTTGGAAAGTATCTAGATATCCCTGCCCTAATGCCAAAGTCACTGGCAACTGAATATGTTTTGCCATTTGATGTCTATGTCTGGACCGTTGCGTTACTTCTCCGCTGTTTTCTTGTCCCAGTTTGCATGCAGTTTGCTTTTTAGCCCAACTGTATACAGTTTTTCTCAGACGCGGAGGGATACTGACTTGTTGTGAAAAGTAACTACAATTCTACCCGTGATATACGCTCATTATATCACGGCTAAGAACCAATCAGATTGCTTGATTTGACTTGTCCATTTTATAATATTACATATATAACATTATTAGTTTGTCAATATTGTTGCATGAAGTACCATTATACTCTTTTAGGCAAACATAGTTCTGATAAACACATTTTTGGTAAATTACTAGAAACAATTAGACTTCAGTACAGTAGCCTAGTAAATATAATTAGTTATTTTCCACCACTCGGTTTCTCTCTGAAGAACCAGCACCTTACCTTGGTAGAGAGGTTTGTGTGCCCTAATGAACCTGGGGGCGGTGTGGTCTGGAACCTTGTGTTCCTGGTAGGGTCTCCCATGGCAAATTGGTCTCAGGCAAGGGGCCAGACTAAGATTGGTTCAAAAGACCTCATGAAAGACGACACACAAAGTGAGGATACCCGGCCCGGAGGAAGCCCGGGGTCCCCTTCTGGAGCCAGGCCCAAAAGGAGGACTCGTCGGTGAGCGTCTGGTGGCCGGGCTTGCCACGGAGCCCGGCCGGGCACAGCCCGAAAAGGCAACGTGGGCAACACCTCCGCTTCTCCGTCCCGCGGGCCCACCACCTACGGGAAACAGCGATGGGGTCTGGTGCGCTGCCAGAAGGGTGGCAGTGAAAGCAGAGGGTCTTGACGGACCAGACCCGGGCGACAGAAGCTGGCTTTGGGGACGTGGAATGTCACCTCTCTGGGGGGGAAGGAGCCGGAGCTTGTGCGGGAGGTGGAGCGTTACCAGTTGGATCTGGTTGGGCCACCTCTACGCACAGCGTCGGCTCTGGAACCTTACTTCTGGATAGGGGTTGGACTCTATTCTTCTCCGGAGTTGCCAAAGGTGTGAGGCGCCGGGCGGGTGTGGGGATACTCACAAGCCCCCGGTTGGGTGCTTCTTTGTTGGAGTTTACCCCAGTGGACGAGAGGGTCGCCTCTCTACGCCTGCGGGTTATGGGGGGGAAAACTCTGACTGTTGTGTGTGCTTATGCACCAAACAGCAATTCAGAGTATACGGCCTTCTTGGAGACCCTGGAAAGCGTCCTGTATGGGGCTCCTGAAGGGGACTCTTTAATCTTGCTGGGAGACTTCAACGCACATGTGGGCAATGATGGAGACACTTGGAGGGGCGTGATTGGGAGGAACGGCTCCCCTGATCTGAACCGGAGTGGTGGTTTGTTACTGGACTTCTGTGCTAGTCATGGTTATTGGCCATAACAAACACCATGTTCGAACATAAGGATGCTCATAAGTGTACGTGGTACCAGAGCACCCTAGGCAGAAGGTCCATGATCGATGTTGTTATCGTATCATCGGACCTGAGGCTGTATGTTTTGGACACTCGGGTAAAGAGAGGGGCAGAGTTGTCAACTGATCACCATCTGGTGGTGAGTTGGGTCGAGTGGCGGGGGAAGCCTCTGGACAGACCTGGTAAGCCCAAACGTGTAGTTCGGGTGAACTGGGAACGTCTGGAGGAGGCCCAAGTTCAGGAGGCCTTCAACTCACACCTCCGGCGGAGCTTTTCGGGCATTCCTGTGGAGGTTGGGGACATTGAACCTCTATGTGTTCAAAGCCTCTATTGCCGAAGCCGCGGCGGGGAGCTGGGGTCTCAAGGTCTTAGGTGCCTCAAGGGGCGGTAACCCTCGAACCTCCTTGTAGACACCGGTGGTCAGGGAAGCCATCCGACTGAAGAAGGAGGCCTTCAGGGATTTGTTATCCCGGGGGACTCCCGAGGCAGTTGCAAGGTACCGACAGGCCCGAAGAACAGCAGCCTCAGCCGTGGCCGAGGCAAAGCAGCTGGTGTGGGAGAAGTTCGGAGAAGACACGGAAAAGGACTTTCAAGCGGCACCAAAGTTGTTGCTGGAAAACTGTCCGACACCTCAGGAGGGGGAAGCAGGGAACCATCCAAGCTGTGTACAGTAAGGATGGGACGTTATTAACCTCAACTGATGGAGTGTTAGGGCATTGGAAGGAACACTTTGAGGAACTCCTGAACCCGACAACTCCGCCCTCTATGGTAGAGGCAGAGCTGGAGTATGACGGGGGATCAACACCAATCTCCCGGGGGGAGGTCACTGAGGTCGTCAAACAACTCCACAGTGGCAAAGCCCCGGGGGTGGATGAGATCCGCCCAGAAATGCTGAAGGCTCTGGGTGTTGAGGGACTGTAATGGTTGACACGTCTCATCAACGTTGCGTGGAAGTCGGAAACAGTACCGAAGGAGTGGCAGACCGGGGTGGTGGTTCCCCTTTTCAAAAAGGGGGATCAGAGGGTGTGTGCCAATTACAGAGGCATCACACTACTCAGCCTCCCCGGGAAAGTTTACTCTAAGGTACTCGAAAGGAGGGTCAGGCCGATTATCGAACCTCAGATTGAGGAGGAACAATGCGGATTCCGTCCTGGTCGTGGAACAACGGATCAGCTTTTTACTCTCGCAAGGATCCTGGAGGGGGCCTGGGAGTATGCTTATCCGGTCTACATGTGTTTTGTAGACTTGAAGAACGCGTATGACCGGGTTCCCAGGGAGTTACTGTGGGAGGTGCTGCAGGAGTATGGGGTGAGGGGGTCTCTACTCAGGGCCATCCAATCTCTGTACTCCCAAAGCGAGAGCTGTGTCCGGGTCCTCGGCAGTAAGTCGGACCCATTTCCGGTGAGGGTTGGCCTCCGCCAGGGCTGCGCTTTGTCACCAATCCTGTTTGTAATATACATGGATAGGATTTTGAGGCGTAGTCGTGGGGGAGGGGGTCTGCAGTTTAGTGGACTAAGGATTGCACCACTGCTTTTTGCAGATGATGTGGTTCTAATGGCTTCATCGGTCTGCGATCTTCAGCACTCACTGGATCGGTTCGCAACCGAGTGTGAAGCGGCTGGGATGAGGATCAGCACCCCCAAATCTGAGGCCATGGTTCTCAGCAGGAAACCGATGGACTGTCCACTCCAAGTAGGGAATGAGTCCTTACCCCAAGTGAAGGAGTTCAAGTATCTCTGGGTCTTGTTCTCGAGTGAGGGAACAATGGAGCGTGAGATGGGCCGGAGAATCGGAGCAGCGGGAGCGGTACTGCAGTCGCTTTACCGCACCGTTGTGACGAAAAGAGAGCTGAGCCAGAAGGCAAAGCTCTCTGTCTACCGGGCCATTTTCGTTCCTACCCTCACCTATGGTCATGAAGGATGGGTAATGACCGAAAGAATGAGATCGCGGATACAAGCGGCCGAGATGGGTTTTCTCCGCAGGGTGGCTGGCGTCTTCCTTAGGGATAAGGTGAGAAGTTCAGTCATCCGGGAGGGACTCGGAGTTGAACCGGTCCTCCTTCGCGTCGAAAGGAGCCAGTTGAGGTGGTTCGGGCACCTAGTAAGGATGCCACCTGGGCGCCTCCCTAGGGAGGTGTTCCAGGCACGTCCAGCTGGGAAGAGACCAAGGGGTAGACCTAGGACCAGGTGGAGGGATTATATCTCTTCGCTGGCCTGGGAGTGCCTTGGGATCCCCAAGTCAGAGCTGGTTGATGTGGCCAAGGAAAGGAAAGTTTGGGGCTCTCTGCTGGAACTGCTACCTCCGTGACCCGACCACGGATAAGCGGGAGGAGATGGATGGATGGGTGGGTTTCAAAATGACCAAATTAGAGGTCCTGCAATCTTATTTAAAGTATGTCTTCCTCCATGTTTCATCTTATTGTTAATAATTGTTAATATCATTGATATATGTATTTACAAATGTATGATTGCAGGTGGATTCCTGAGTCTGCCCGCTGGCTGTTGGCTCATGGGAAAGTGGAGAAGGCCAAGTTTTACCTCGACAAATGTGCCGAATTCAACAAGAGAGGAGATCTGTCGGACAAAATAAAACTGGAGGTGAGTTTGAGTTTGATGTCGAATGCCTTTGTTTAAAATGTTTCTATCAGACTATCCACAACCAAGTTAACAAAGTATCACTTGCTTAAACCATGACATTACAATATAAGAATGTTACTTTAAATACTTAATATGTACATGAGCTTGCCCATTTAAGGGTTGTTGTTAAAGAGAGGGATGATTGGTGTTGAAAGTTCAGAATCAAACGGGAAAAAGTCATATTAAAACCTTAAGTTTCTAAGGGAAGGAAATAAGTACAGCCAATAATAAATCTGTCAATGTGTACATGGGATGTCTAAATGTATTTAACCTTACTTCTTTCTCTGAACAGACACTGTCCAGCATAGAAAACGAGGAAAATAAGGACAAAAACTACACATACCTCGACCTGATCAAGACCCCGAAGATGAGAAAGTTAACTCTACTGACTGGCATTGTGTGGTATGGCGTTGCCTCCACGTATTACGGCATCAGCCTGAACATCAGCGGCTTGGGTTTGAACATTTACCTCACACACTTCATCTACGCTGCCATCGAAGTGCCCGCCAAGCTGATGGTCTACTGCTGTCTGAACATCGTGGGGCGGAGGAAGTGTCAGGCGGGAACGCTGCTGCTGACGGGACTCTCCATCGCCATCAACATCTTGCTACCTCAAGGTGACAGGAACACATCATTCTCGGTCACAGCAATACAAAACTGGAACTCTCTACCCACTCAAATCAAAGTAATTCATACAGTACATATACCACCTTTACAGCTCACTTAAAAACATGGTTCACTGAGAACTACACACACTAGTAGTCTGTGTTGGATATGGCGTGTGTGTTACATGTTGTGATCATGGACCCCTTGTATCTGTTGTGTGATTGTGATATGCTATATGTGACATGTATGTAGTAACGTGTGTTGTTTGCATTTTATTGTTCTCATTGATCCTTTAGCCTCTATCTACTTGTCTTTCATCCTTTCTTTATAACTAATGCTGTTGATGTATTGGGATTTTAAGGAGACTCTATTATCAGCCGTAAATTAGCAATGTTGGCTGAAGCTGCCCCATTTGCAGTTTTTTGTGACGGCTGATCAACGGGGACTGTCCACGACACTAGACCACCACTATCCCTATTTTCTACTTTCTTGTTTATTTCTTGTCTTTTAATTTGTATTGGCTACTATGCCATGTCTTTTTATGCTGCTGCAACACAAACATTTCCCAAATTGGGATCAATAAAGTACTTCTTATCTTATCTTATCTTTACAATTTTTTGTCATGAATGTTGGACATACTGTATTTGTGAAAAACCGAAAAAAATTAAATATGTATGTATCCTTAAATCAACTCTAAAGGTGTTCTTTTAGACACGCGGTGAAGATGAAGTTTGAGAACATCCTGGAGGAAATTGGCGGTTTTGGACCTTTCCAAATCGTCATCATCGTCCTGCTGTGTGCCCCAAGAATCGTGCTGCCCTGTCACTACCTGTTGAATAACTTTATTGCGGCGTTACCTCCTCACCGTTGTGATATCAGCACTCTGGATGATGGAAGACTCTTTAGGAATGTAACCGAGCAGCAGAGACTGACCGTCAGCCTTCCTTTAGGAGAAGATGGCGGCTTCAGATCCTGTGAGATGTTTTCAGAGCCACAGTTTCAGCTCTTGGTGAATGGATCCAAACTCTTTGAGGCGACAACGGTACCATGTCAGAGCAGATGGGTTTACGACAACTCCACCTTCACCTCCACCCTGGCAACAGAGGTAAGGACACAATGCTTTTATCAGTAATCAAACATTGTGTGAAAGATATCATATAAAAGACATTTCAGCGAGCAGACGTTTTGACTTCACCCAAAAATAATGTAGGTGGGGCTAAAACATTCATAATCACTAAGATCTGCCCAAAAGATTATTTAATTTATTCTGAGGAAAAAGTCAACATTTTTAGAAAAAAGTCGGAATTCTGAAAAAAAGTCGGAGGTCTGTAAGAAAGTCGGAATTCTCAGAAAAAGTTGGAATTTTGAGAAAAAAAAATGAATTTTGAGAAAAAGTCGGAATTCTGAGAAAAAAGTCAGACATCTGATAAAAATAGTACTGAAAAAAAATTCTATAATAATAATAATAATTCTGAGTAAGTCAGGATTTTAAATGTCCCATGACATGGCCATTTCTACTGATCATAATTCCATTGTTGAGGTCTACTAGAATAGATTTACATTGTTCAATGTTCCAAAATCACATTGCTGCGTGGGGTCTGGGTGCCGTGTTGGCGGGACGTTGCGGGGCTCGCTGCTCCGCCCTTTGAGGCTCGAGGAGCGGACAGTGTGAGCTGGATTACTGGTGTCGTTTCCTGGTTGCTGCGTGGGGTCTGCGAGACAGCGAGACACCACGGAGCTCAGCCTGAGCACACACACACACACACTCACAGCCTAGTGTGCTGAGATCTGCGGAGCTGCGGCTGAGAAAAGATAAGGCTGAGTGAGTGTGTGTGTGTGAGGAGTTCCGTGGATGCGTCCATTTGGACCTGGGTATCGTTACGTCACTATACTCAGGAAGAAAACAAATGGAAAAAGAGAAATCTCCAACGAGGCGTTCTGGGGCAGCATAGACAGGTATTTTCTGTGTTAGAGTTTTACTCGCTACAGGGTGTACTTTGAGGGTTTGTGACTTTGCAGACCGTTTACATGCATACAACGCTACATAACACACAAGGGGACGGGTAATAACCGGAAAAGCATGACATGGGACCTTTAACATAAACGTCTTAATTCTCAGAAACAAACTGAATTCTCACAAGGAGACAAAGTTATGAGAAAATGGTTGTGTTTGAGGGCCCTGCATTATGAAACAGATAAACTGATCTGATGCTGTTTTCTCTGTGATCTGCCTCACAGTGGGACCTCATCTGTGATAGGAAAAGCCTGGCACAAACCACAAGCTCCATCTTCTTCTTTGGAGTGATGATCGGCTCCATAGCGTCTGGATTCCTCTCTGACAGGTGAATATAAATTGTGAAACATATTTGAGTAAATGTTACTTAGCTTCTACCACTGGTCTTCACTTTGATTGGAAACAGAGGTGGGAAGTAGTGGAGTACAAATACTTTGTTACTGTACTTAAGTACATGTTTCTGGTATCAGTACTTTACTCCACTACTTATTTTTCTGACTACTTTTTACTTTGACTTCTTACATTTTGAACACAAATACCTGTACTTTCTACTTCTTACATTTTCCAAACAGGCGCTGGTTCCTTTAGTTTGAATGTGTGTTTGGTGGCGTGATCATTATTATTTAGAGTCATTGCGTGCCTATTGATTTGAACACGATCCGTGTATCCATCATTTCCTGGTCTTCTCTAAAGAAGAGGGACCAATGAAAACGTTGTCATGTTGCCGTTGTTCAGCATGGAAACATTCATTAGCTAACAATGACATTATTGTTCTATTAATATAAAGGGAGGTCAGGTACTCTTTAAAACAGCTGGTAGTTATGGGTACTTTTTTAGTTAAGTACATTTCAAAGCCCTCTTTACTTTTACTTGAGTAAAGAAGTTTAGTCAGTACTTCTACTTTTACCAGAGTATTTTTAAACACGAGTATCTGTAATTCTACTTAAGTAAAGGATGTGTACTTTTGCCATCTCTGGTCACAAATCTCCGCTGATGTTTGTCTTACCATCTTTAATCTACTTTATATCTATCTCCAGGTATGGGAGGAGGAACACTCTTCTCGCCTCGTACATCATGGCAGCCGTGTTCGGCTTCTCCAGCGCATTTGCAAACTCCTACGTTGTGTTCGCCGTCCTCAGGTTCTTCACCGGGTTCGGACTGACCGGAATCGGCGTAAACTTGATAGTTCTCAGTAAGTTCTTAACATCATATTGAACTGAGGCGACAAGTATTACATGTCACACATCAACACATTGCAAAATTGCTATAACTAAGTGTCTCAAAATACTAAGAAATATGTAATTTAAAATGACGGCAGCACTGATCAAGTTTGGAACTGTCCAAGTCTGTTCACAGTTTCTTTAACATTAACCAGTCTTTAAACACTGCAAGAGCCCATACTGTGTTCCCTTTAGTGTTTACATCCTGTCTTTCTTCTTCTGCTGTTCCCTTAATGGCGCGTTTCCACTACAGCCCGCAGCCCGGTTTAAGAGGGCTGTGACGTCAGCGGCCTGTTTGTGGTTGCGTTTCCACTTGGCCTAGTACCGGCCGGCGGGTCCTAATTCACAGTTTTTCTGGCCTCATAAAATCGTGGGGCCAGGGCCAAAGACAACCGGGCTGAGTTTGTGACGTCAACGCTCTCGGCTGCTGATTGGTCGGAGAGAATCGTCACAATCTGCGCGCGAGATAATCCATTTTTACAAACAGCATTTTTGTTAACAGAGGAGCTACAACAATGGCAAATAAAAGCACACCATGGTCGGTCGAGGAAGTGACGACGTCCATTATATTGCAGATGATAAGGTCCAGCGGGTGCTCGACGGGACAACTCGCAATATCAAAGTCTTTCAGGAGGTCTCTACACAGACACTGGACTCTCCAACGGCGTTACTGGAGTCTGCATGGAACGTTTTTGCTAACGCTGTTATTTGCTTGAAAGCTTTGTGTCCCTATCTGTTCTAAAGCTCACTTCTAACAAATAAGTCTATTTTATCCTTACATTTATGTTCGACAACCCATGCTTTTATGGAGTCCCGAAAGCTAGCTAGCTAGCTAACTAAGCCATTGTTTACGTTCAGTTTGTCTTTTCTATAGTTGTTGTTGCTATTTATAGTATTGTGCTGCAGTAGTTTGTGGAATTTACAAGTCATGTTTCTGTTCTAGATGATTACATTGGGACTAGCGAGGAGGAACAGTTCCGAACAACGTCCTCTGCATCAACAGCACAAACCGAGGAGGAGGATCTGGCCCTGCAGGAACGGCAACTGGCCCAGCAGAATCAATGCCATGTCTTATCTTATTGCTTGTTGATAAATAATTGCACCCACCAGCGATCACACAGAAAGATGGCATCATCTAGGCGTCCCTCTGCAGTCAGAAATATCATAAACACCATCGTCCACAAAGCACTGTACAGGGGTTTATGGATTTAAGAGAATACTTATCACAGTGAAACCTTTATCATCTGTTGCAATTAAAGCAAATAAGAGAATAAATACTTGGTTAAATAATACATTTTAACTCTTTAGCAGGACAACTCTGCATACTGTTTGAAATTGAGTTTGCTAGCTTGAGGTCCTCCTCTAAAACATAACATTACATAATGGTATTAAGAATACATGATAAATACATGTAGTAAAAATTACTCAATTGTAATACCCTCGTTGTGCTAGACTCAAACACATTGCTTATATATTTCAAAGAGAAGAGAACAAAAGAAAACACCTATACAAAGAGAGCGGTGCACAGCGCTTAATATTTACTTGCACTATATTTCTGTTGATCTGGGTTATTGTGTTGCACTGTTGGAGGAGCCTGTGACCTAAGATGTTCATTGTCATAACTACACTAGCTATGTTCGTATGACAAAATAAAAAACCTTGAACCTTGAGGCTGTGTCTTTCAGACAAACCATCATAATCATATTATTTTATGCTGTGGATACTTTAGCCTCCATCCATGTTAACAATTTTTTACACTTGCATTTATGAATATAGTTCTGTTGTGTTTTACACTTTTGTATTTATGTTTATAGTTTGCTTTGATATTTGCTTAATTTATTAGATTATTATTATTATGGGGGCAGTACTGGTGCTTGAAATTCAAATATTTACTAAATAGTCAATTCTGATAACATTTTTTTGGTTTAAATAATTTGACAAACACATGTATGTGAAAAAGAAAAGATGTATTTATGTTCAATACAATACAATGAATATTTAGGTATTACATTATACATTCTAGGTATTCAGGTAGTGCATCAGACCCTCTCGTATGTCCCTGCCCTCCTCTGCACCGTGTGCCACTGCTACCCCTGGTAGACGTAGGTTTTCCTCAGGCATCCTGAAGTTCTCCACCCACTGAGTGTGTGAAAGATGGAACAATCACATTCCACCACTCGGTAGCTCGGTCGGTAACTTCTGAAATACACAAACAAAAGCATACATATTTTAATACGTAAAGTGGTAGCTACAATTAATTAAATACTTGAAATACTTTGGTCGTATAGGGAGCGTGAGCCTAAACACATTGCTAGTTAGCGAACGTTAGCTTACCAAGTAGCATTGTAGTTAGTAGTGATTCGAGTCGTCCTGTAGTCTCTGCGGCGTAGGAGGACTGCCCGAACTCTCGCGTCAGCTTCTTCTATACCTCGTCTTGCTATACGTCGCCTCTTTCGAAACAACTCTTGTCTATTTCTTGTGATAATAAACCACACAGCAAAAAACAAGCAAACGATCGCTTTCACATCTTCACATCCTCCATTGTTGTGTCGCATTGAAGATGACGTCACGGCAGTTTTAAGCAGCGTCGCTCCGCCTACACTGCGTTACTATAGATACTACCCCAGTTCCTAAACTGTAATGGAAACGCGCCATAAAGTGAGCTGGTCCTAACGAGGCCAATCGCGGCCCAGCCATACCGAGCGGGGCCGAGCGAGGCCGTGTAGTGGAAACGCGCAATTAGTGTTTACTTCCTGTCTTTCTTCTTCTGCTGTTCCCTTTGGTGTTTAATTCCGTTCCCTTTAGTGTTTACTTCCTGTCTGTCTGTGTTCTTCTTCTGTTCCCTATAGTGTTTACTTCCTGTCTTTCTTCTTATGCTGTTCCCTTTAGTGTTGACTTCCTTTCCCTTTAGTGTTGACTTCCTGTCTGTCTGTCTGTCTGTCTTCTTCTGCTGTTCCCTATAGTGTTTACTTCCTGTCTGTCTGTCTTCTTCTGCTGTTCCCTATAGTGTTTACTTCCTACTTCTGCTGTACCTGACTTAATTTTTGTTGTTTTCCAGGTATTGAGTGGGTGGACACGGACCACCGGTCGTTTATCGGTGTGATCGGCTGTCTCTTCTGGTCTGTAGGGAACATGCTATTGGCTGCGTTCGCCTACCTGGTGAATGACTGGAGAAACCTCACCATGACCGTCACCGCTCCGCTGGGACTCGCTATCCTGACCTGGTGGTGAGAGAAACTGTTATAAAAATCTCACTTGTCACCGGCTTGAGCTTCAATCTCAGGATCCATGTATTTGTGAGGCGTGTGGCGCAGTGGGTTGTGCGTTGGAGTTCAGATCAGGTTTTTTTTCTCAAAATGCTGACTTTTTCTCAAAATTCTGACTTTTTCTCAAATTGTTAATAATCACTGGTCACCAGCGTGAGCGTCAATCTCAGGATCCATGTATTTATTATCAGAATCAGAATCAGAGTACCTTTATTAGTCCCACGGAGGGGACATTTCCATAGTTACAGCAGGAAAAAGAGCCACAGACAGCTTAATGTTACATATGTTAAATATGTGACATGCATTAAAAAAAAGTACTAAGTTATGACATAATAAATAATATAAGAAATGTTACATAATAAAAAAAAGAAATTAAAAATACCTCTCAAGAATGGAAGTGGTCATCACATACAGAGCATTTGGTCCAACTAGTTCCTGAACAGTGTCCTTCACATGCTGATATACAAGAGAGGGAGTTACACAGTCACAAGATGGAGGAATAGAAAGCAGTATTCAATGTTTACTTCAGATTAGCTCCACGTCAGAAATGATCATGCTTGTCATATGTCTATCTCCATAGAGGCTGAATCATCATGTTAATCACATAGCTATCATATGCCTAAAACAGTCCTGATGCTCTTCTAGGTAATCATACATCCTGTCATGAACAGCTACAGTTGGGATACCTTTGTTATCATGTGTACTCTGATATTGGAAGAGTACATTCACTATTTTCCGAACAGAAACACACCATAGTTTTCCACAAAATGAACAATGGAAAAATAAACATTGTCTGTAAAGCAGCTAATATAAATTAGGGTATCATTTAAATATGAATACAACTGTTAAAGACAGACAACACCTTTCAATTCCTTTACTGAAGTAAAAGTACTAACATCAAAATACTTGATTACAATTATCCTACATTAGAAATCTCAGTTAAGTAAAATAGGTTTTAGCAGCTAAATGTACCTAAAGTAATAAAAGTAAAATTATTCATTCTCTGTAAAGACACCATTACAGTAGTCGAGTCTACTGAAGATAAAAGCATGGACAAGTTTTTCCAAATCCTGCTGTGACATTAGTCTTTTAATCCTAGATATGTTCTTTAGGTGATAGTAGGCTGATTTAGTAACTGTTTTAATGTGACTGTTGAAACTCAGAGTCCATGACTACACCTAGATTTCTGGCTTTATCTGTTGTTTTGAACATTGCAGACTGAAGCTCAGCGCTAACTTTTATACGTTCTGCCTTGGCTCCAAAAACAATCACCTCAGTTTTATCTTTGTTTAATTGGAGAACGTTCTGACACATCCAGTCATTGATTTGTTCAATGCACTTACTCAGTGTTTGAATTGGAGAATAGTCTCCTGGTGAAATGGTTATGTAAATGTGTGTGTCATCCGCATAGCTATGGTAACTTATTTTGTTGTTTTTCATTATCTGAGCCAGTGGTAGCATGTAGATGTTAAAGAGAAGAGGCCCCAAGATGGAGCCTTGAGGTACCCCACATGTCATATTTGTCAACTCAGATTTGTATTTACCTATAGAAACAAAGTTGTTTCTGTCCTTTAAGTAGGATTCAAACCAATTTAGAACTGTTGATGAAAGTCCCACCTGGTTTTCCAGTCGGTCTAGTAATATGTTGTGGTCAACAGTGTCAAACGCAGCACTGAGATCTAATAATACTAACACTGAAGTTCTGCCACTGTCTGTGTTTAAGTGGATGTCATTGAAGACCTTTACAAGAGCAGTCTCAGTGCTGTGGTTTGGTCGAAATCCTGACTGGAACACATCCAAACAATTATTTAAATGCAAGAAATTACTCAACTGTTGAAAAACTACTTTTTCAATGATTTTATCTAGAAATGGCAGGTTTAATATGGGCCTGTAATTGTTCATTACTGAAGCATCTAGATTATGCTTTTTTAAGAGCGGTTTAATGACTGCAGTTTTCAGGGCCTGTGGAAAAATACCTGAGTGAAGAGATTTGTTTACTATATGAAGTAGATCTGAGGCCATGCAAGGAAAAACATTTTTAAAAAACCTTGTTGGAATAATATCAAGGCAGCAGGAGGAGGATTTCAGAAGTTGAATAATGTCCTCTAGGTTTTTATCATTAATCTGATGGAATTGTGTCATGGTGTTTGAATAGATTTTAAGTGGACACAGGGACAAAACATTTGCTGTACCTGATGCAGAGGCACTGACTGCTTGTCTGATTTTCTGAATGTTGTCAGTGAAGAAGGCAAAGTCATTGCAGGCCCTGGTGGATAGAAATCCATAGGCTCCTGACACTGGGGGGTTTGTTAGTCTGTCGACGGTAGAAAACAAGGCACGTGCGTTGTTTTTGTTTTTGGCAATGATATCAGAGAAGAAAGACTGTCGGGCAATTTTCAATTCCAAATTATAAAAGCCAAGTCTCTCTTTATAGATTTCAAAGTGAACCTGGAGATTTGTTTTTCGCCACCTGCGTTCAGCTTTTCGACACTCTCTTTTGTCTGTTCTCACGGTCATGGCCTTTCTCCATGGAGATATTTTCTAGCAATGGCATCTACAACATTTTTAATTTTTTAATTAAAATGATCTACTAGCTCATTTACTGAGATGTGAGCAGGGGCAAGTGTGGAAGAAAAATTCTGAGTAAACATTTCCCTAGTATTTTCAGTTAAATATCGCTTTGTGGTTACCTCTTTTTGAACATTTTTGTGAACAGAAATAGAGCTCTCAAAAAAAACACAGGAATGATCAGAGAGTGCAACATCAGTCACCACAACCTTAGAGATATTTAGACCCTTTAAGATAATTAAGTCCAGGGTGTGCCCCTTATTGTGTGTGGGCTCCGTCACATGCTGAGTCAGTCCATAGTTATCAAGAACACAAAACAGTTATTTAGCTCCTCTGTCCTGGGGGTTGTCAACATGGATGTTAAAATCACCAACAATGACTAGACGGTCAAAGTCAATACACACTATAGACAGCAGTTCAGTAAAGTCATCAAAAAAGCTTGCACAGTATTTGGGTGGTCTATAGATATTTAGGAACAGAGCTCCAGAGGAGCATTTCAGCTGAAGGGCCACATATTCAAAAGAAGCAAAGCTCCCATAAGATGTCTTCCTGCATTGAAGGGAATCATTGAACAAAATAGCAACTCCAACCCCTTTCTTATGCATTCTTTCCTGACTCATAAAACTAATGTTGGGAGGGGTTGATTCGATAAGAACAGCTGCACTGTTATTTTGTTCAATCCAAGTTTCCGTTATAAGCATAAAATCGAGATTGTGCTCAGTGATAAAATAATTGATTAAAAATGTCTTACCTGCCAAAGACCTGACATTTAATAAAGCTAGTTTAAGTTTGTTAAATACACTATCAGTCAGATTTTTTGTGGCAAGCTGTGGCTGACATGGAATCACTGCTAAATTTGATAAACTCACACAAACCTTTGAGCGCTTCCTGTGTCTAAGCTGATTCACTGCTCTTAATCTATTACCGATCAACACAGATATTGGCAAAGCTACTGGCAGGCAGGGCCCCGGCTTGTCCTGGAAAGAGTTGAGAGTGCCATACGCCCTTGAGCCTGGACCCAGCACTTATCAGTTAGTGCTTGCGTTTTTTACACACACATTCTTATCAGGCTTCCGAGACAGCAGATGCTGTCTTGAAGGGGGGGAAGGAAGTTTTGGTCCGGATGATTGTGGTAGGCATGGTGATGGGGGTGATGGTGCGTGTCTATGCTTCGGTGATTGTGGTGGGCGTCGTTGAGGAGGGGCGGGGGTAAAGGAGATGCTGCCAGCCCTGCGTATCGCCTTCATGCGGTCATTGAACTCCAGGAAGGACTTGGTGCCAACTCTCTGTATCTCCTTCATCTGCTCATCAAACTCCAGGGGGGTGGGCGAGGGTGAAAGGGTGAGCGGAGAGTAGAGAGAGCTGGGGTGTGAAGGAAGAGTATCCTCAAAGGTGTTGACAGGGGGGGTGAATGGCGGTGGATACTCCTCCATTTGTGTCATAGGTCTCCCATAATCAAAACATTCCTCAGGCGGGTGCAGTGATACTTCTTCAAGGTTTTCTGCGCAATGTGTTGTGTCTTTCACCTGTTTTGATTCCTCTTGCCGCTTGTCCTTGGCAGAGGGAACAGATTGATGATGCAGGCAGTTGAATATGTTAGGGATAAACAATTTTACTCCTGACTTGTTCAGGCAAACTCCATCTGCCTTAAAAAGATGTCTGCGGTCCCAGAAAAAGTTAAAATGGTCAATAAAATGGATAGAATGGTCAGTACAGGCAGTTGAAAGCCACGTGTTCAGTGCAAACAATCTGCTGAATCTCTGCACTCCTCTTCTGACTGGCGGTAGAGGGCCACTGATGAACAACTCCGCATTTAGAGAGCTGACAGTTTACAACAGACATTTAAAGTATTTTTTCAGCACTTCTGACTGTTGTTTCAATATGCAGGATCTTCTCAGCCAAGTCAGAGACCATATCCTTGGGAAAACAGAGTACTCTGGTGTTGTTCTTACTACACAGACTGTTTACATCTCTTACAGCAGAGTCACCCACAATCAGAGTTTCAGGTCCAGTCGTTAGCTTTCCCTCTAGCCTTTTACTTTAGGAGTAGCTATTGGTCCTTACCCTGCTGTGTGAAGAGGACAGGTTATCCAGCTCATCAGAAAGAGATCTCCGGTTCTGGGTCAGCAGAGCGTATCTGTTCTGGATTGGCAAAGTTGGTGGTTTAGGAGGATTGTTTGTAGTTCTCCCTTTAGCAGCTGTCCACGACTGTTTCCTAGTATGAAGAGGGGTTGAAGAGGCGCTCTTCCTGGGTGATAACAATGCAGGCCAGCCGGTCGCATCACAGATTTCAGAGCGCTGGGCTCTGCCTGTTATTCGTTCTCCCAAATCCCATGGAAATGATTTACTCTTAGGTTTTGCACCCAGAGAGTTCGAGGGAGGACTACCACTTGTAGATGTATTACCCGGTACACAGCCCTCCTGTTCCTTGGAATCCTTGTAGCTGCTAACTAGCTGTAAGTTAGCATGCCCTTTTCCATTATTTTGCAAGAATGGTAAAGTGGTGTCATTCCCACAACATAGTCCATTCACTTCCACGTTAACTTCCAACCGTTGCATTTTCATTTCCAACACTGCCATCTTCTGTAGAAGTTTGTGGAAGTCATCTGTAGAGAACGGAGGCATTTTGCTGCTAACTAGCTAAATAGCATGCAGTACCAGGCTTTAGCTGTTGCTATCAGAAAAGAAAAATAGGAAAATCAGCATAAAAAAGTAAGCAGAGGCAAGAGCAAGCAGAAAAGCGACTGCACTGTAAGAAGCAGGAAGAAGCTTGACATAGTTCTGATAAACACTTTTTTTACAGTAGCCTAGTAAATATAATTAGTTATTTTCCACCACTGGGTTTCAAAATGACCAAATTAGAGGTCCTGCAATCTTATTTAAAGTATGTCTTCCTCCATGTTTCATCTTATTGTTAATAATTGTTAATATCATTGATATATGTATTTACAAATGTATGATTGCAGGTGGATTCCTGAGTCTGCCCGCTGGCTGTTGGCTCATGGGAAAGTGGAGAAGGCCAAGTTTTACCTCGACAAATGTGCCAAATTCAACAAGAGAGGAGATCTGTCGGACAAAATAAAACTGGAGGTGAGTTTGAGTTGGATGTCGAATGCCTTTGTTTAAAGATATTATATTTTTACTTGATAAAATGTTTCTATCAGACTATGCACAACCAAGTTAACAAAGTACCACTTGCATAAACCATGACATTACAATATAAGAATGTTACTTTAAATACTTAATATGTACATGAGCTTGCCCATTTAAGGGTTGTTGTTAAAGAGAGGGATGATTGGTGTTGAAAGTTCAGAATCAAACGGGGAAAAAGTCATATTAAAACCTTAAGTCCTCACCCACCAGTGTATCTATGGAACTGCCCCTCCCTACCTCAAGGAACTCCTCACCCCCCATACCTCCTTGCGGACCACCTGCTCCAGCAACTCCAACCTCCTCAGACCCCCCAGGACCAAGCTCCGTACTATGGGAGACCGGGCCTTCTGCTCGGCTGCTCCCAGTCTGTGGAATGCTCTCCCTGATCACATAAGAGCACCACAGACCGTGGAAGCTTTTTAAAAAGGCCTCAAAACCCATCTATTCAATAGAGCCTTTCCCTAGACCTCTTATTTATTACCACCCTTTTATTTTATTTTATTTGTATTGTTTGTTTTTTATTGCTTTTTATTCATTCTACCGTGTTGTGTACTGTTTGTATACTTTGCATGCTCACTGCTTGTAGCACTTCGGGATTTGAAGTCAAATATTAAGTGCTTTATAAATGAAACCCCTTATTATTATTATTAAGTTTCTAAGGGAAGGAAATAAGTACAGCCAATAATAAATCTGTCAATGTTTACATGGGATGTCTAAATGTATTTAACCTTACTTCTTTCTCTGAACAGACACTGTCCAGCATAGAAAACGAGGAAAATAAGGACAAAAACTACACGTACCTCGACCTGATCAAGACACCGAAGATGAGAAAGTTAACTCTACTGACTGGCATTGTTTGGTGGGTATCATCTCGATAAAACACCTTCAAATACATTTTAATTTAACATGAATGATCAACAATGTGTTGTTTATTGTATCCTGCAGGTATGGCGTTGCCTCCACGTATTACGGCATCAGCCTGAACATCAGTGGCTTGGGTTTGAACATTTACCTCACACACTTCATCTACGCTGCCATCGAAGTGCCCGCCAAGCTGATGATCTACTGCTGTCTGAACATCGTGGGGCGGAGGAAGTGTCAGGCGGGAACGCTGCTGCTGACGGGACTCTGCATCGCCATCAACATCTTCCTACCTCAAGGTGACAGGAACACATCATTCTCGGTCACAGCAATACAAAACTGGAACTCTCTACCCACTCAAATCAAAGACATTCATACAGTACATATACCACCTTTACAGCTCACTTAAAAACATGGTTCACTGAGAACTACACACACTAGTAGTCTGTGTTGGATATGGCGTGTGTGTTACATGTTGTGATCATGGACCCGTCGTTTCTGTTGTGTGATTGTGATATGCTATATGTGACATGTATGTAGTAACGTGTGTTGTTTGCATTTTATTGTTCTCTTTGATCCTTTCGCGTCTATCTACTTGTCTTTCATCCTTTCTTTATAACTAATGCTGTTGATGTATTGGGATTTTAAGGAGACTCTATTATCAGCTGTAAATTAGCAATGTTGGCTGAAGCTGCCCCATTTACAGTTTTTTGTGTCGGCTGATCAACGGGGACTGTCCACGACACTATAAACCAATAAACTAAACTTTACTAAACACACATGGGACCATTTATAGGCTGTTTGGTGAACGGTCAATTGACACTTGCATCTACTTTCTTTCTAGATCTGTGGCATCTGCGTATTGTTGTCGCCATTCTTGGAAAAGGTCTCTCAGGAGCTGCTTTCACGACCGTCTCCCTCTACACAACGGAGCTTTACCCCACAGTCGTCAGGTACGTGATAGGACTTACACAAGACTCAGGTACAAAGACTCAGGTACAAAGACTCAGGTACAAAGACTCAGGTACAAAGACTCAGGTACAAATACTCAGGTACAAAGACTCAGGTACAAAGACTCAGGTACAAAGACTCAGGTACAAAGACTCACTGATAAATAATTATAAATACTGAAAAATTACACACAAAAAAACAATACATTGCCATTGCGTTACCATTTCTAATGATTCACCTTGACCTTCCTTCTCTCCAGGCAGAACAGCCTGGAGAGAAGGAATATTTAAAAACATGCTTTAACATCTCTCCTCATTCCCCTTCGTTCTCTCCAGGCAAAACGGCCTGGGCTACACCAGCTTCATAAGTTATCTGGGGATCTCTGTGGCTCCTCTGATTCTGATGCTGGAGGACTTCTGGACTCCTCTTCCTCAGATCATCATCTGCTCCATGGCCTCCGGCCTGGTGACGCTGCTGCTGCCCGAGACCCTGAAGGAAAGCCTGCCGGAGACCATCCAGGACGTGGAGCAGAAGACAGTGTTGGTGAATTAAAGGCAGGGCCGTCCCTGGCCAACTTGAGGCCCCAAGCGATATTTTGAGATGAGCCCCCCCCCCCCTCAATTTAATAATATAAATACTATATTGTTATAATATTGTTTTAATATAGTCAAGAAAAAACATGCTTATTACATGCTCAAAAACTGATATTTCTTAAATCTGTATTCAAAAGTAGTTCCCTCTGTCAGCAATGTATCAACAACTACACACACATTTCTATCAGTATTTCTCTGTGTTGTGGTTGACATGAGGATGACTGTTAGGAGTTAAGGGGAGAGGCTGAGCATCACCATGAAATGTGCAAATTGACATAAAAATGAATAAAAGGGGAATAAATGCTCCATGTTTTTTAGGCTGTAAACTTTAACTGTCATGTAAGCCAACTAGACAGACAGTGTATCACTCTTCCTCCTGTACATTAGCAGATAAGAGGCATAGAATACTTGAATGAATGGTAAATAAAGAACGCTGGAAATAACTGCATCTCCATTAGCCTATATGCTATGCAGAGACTGCCTTCTTCATGTCGTGAATTGCAGCTGACAATGGCAATTGGCAAAAGTTTGACATTTGACTTATACAACATTCGCAAGTTGTACATTTGACTCATACAATAATCCACCTTCGAGAGATGCTCTAGTTTCTTCATGTTTTGTTTTTTTCCCTCTTGCTTGCGCCGGACTGAAACTGTCTTTTCGCCGACATCTCTTCACCTGCACTAGTGTCCTGATCCATTTATATAAAAACCTGTCTGAATATGAGCTGATCAGATTTTGACCACTTTATGATGTCATAACGATGTTTTGTCTTGTGTAACCATTAGCCAATCACCAACCAATGTAACTTTCATGAAGCACATTCAGGCACATGAGCACATACTACAGTTTAAAAAAGCAGGAATAAAATCTGAGCATTAGTTTAATACACACATGCAATCAACCCTTTAATAAAAGCATATTTAACATTAACACCTCCTCTTTATGAGATGAAGCACCGCCCCTTACATGCAGTTCTCTAAATATGGCTTCACCCATGTGCATTATTAAGCCCCGCCCCTCTTCCAGTTCAGGAGATGTGATTGGTCTGAGATCACATGACCTGCAGTGTGTGTCTGTGTATAATAGGTTGTCTGTTTATTGTACTGCTCTTTGTCACGTGCTGTTTGATGACCCTGATGAAGGTCAAAGCAGAACACACTGATATTAAAGATTCCTCAGGATTATCTAATGTAAATATTGTAGTTTTATAAGATCAAGTGTTGGACTCGTGTTATGTTCATAAAGTAACTGATGTAGGTAATAAGGATATGCAATGACAGGGACAATGGATGCACATTTGTCTAATTAGCTAAATAAATCCCATATGCAACACGTCTGTATCATGTTACTGTAAACTGTGACTGATGGTTTCTTTTGAAATTTACTTGAGAAATAAACTGTAGTCATGCTCAATGAAATATAATCCAGAAGAAATCACAACTCATACATTTGGTAAGCTATCCATATTAAATGTCTGTCTTTCTTTATACAAACATATATCTTGTATTTTTGACTGCCTTATGTTTTCCTTGCCACAGGTAAGTGTGTTATAAAGAGAACACGTTTAAATCACTGCTATATTCTACTGTTCCAGAACATATTGACATCGCTATGGAACCCTCCTGCTTCAATTGGCTACCTAAGGGGCGGGACATCTCTAAGCTGGTTGACCAATCACAACAGAGCCGGCCAGCTAACCAATCAGAGCCGACTGGGCTCTGGTTTCAGACAGAGGGTGAAAAGAGGTGCTGCAGCACAGACAGTATGAAAAAAAAAAAGAGCTTTTTGAACATTAAAGCATGGAGAAATGTCTCAGTAGAGACACTACATACTGATATACACCTGAACATCAGCAGGAGAGGACTCTTTAAAGTAGAGACACTACATACTGATATACACCTGAACATCAGCAGGAGAGGACTCTTTAAAGTAGAGACACTACATACTGATATACACCTGAACATCAGCAGGAGAGGACTCTTTAAAGTAGAGACACTACATACTGATATACACCTGAACATCAGCAGGAGAGGACTCTTTAAAGTAGAGACACTAAATACTGATATACACCTGAACATCAGCAGGAGAGGACTCTTTAAAGTAGAGACACTACATACTGATATACACCTGAACATCAGCAGGAGAGGACTCTTTAAAGTAGAGACACTACATACTGATATACACCTGAACATCAGCAGGAGAGGACTCTTTAAAGTAGAGACACTACATACTGATATATACCTGAACATCAGCAGGAGAGGACTCTTTAAAATAGAGACACTACATACTGATATACACCTGAACATCAGCAGGAGAGGACTCTTTAAAGCAGAGACACTACATACTGATATACACCTGAACATCAGCAGGAGAGGACTCTTTAAAGTAGAGACACTACATACTGATATACACCTGACCATCAGCAGGAGAGGACTCTTTAAAGTAGAGACACTACATATTGATATACACCTGAACATCAGCAGGAGAGGACTCTTTAAAGTAGAGACACTACATACTGATATACACCTGAACATCAGCAGGAGAGGACTCTTTAAAATAGAGACACTACATACTGATATACACCTGAACATCAGCAGGAGAGGACTCTTTAAAGCAGAGACACTACATACTGATATACACCTGAACATCAGCAGGAGAAGACTCTTTAAATAAGAGACACTACATACTGATATATACCTGAACATCAGCAGGAGAGGACTCTTTAAAGTAGAGACACTACACACTGATATATACCTGAACATCAGCAGGAGAGGACTCTTTAAAGTAGAGACACTACATATTGATATACACCTGAACATCAGCAGGAGAGGACTCTTTAAAGTAGAGACACTACATACTGATATACACCTGAACATCAGCAGGAGAGGACTCTTTAAAATAGAGACACTACATACTGATATACACCTGAACATCAGCAGGAGAGGACTCTTTAAAGCAGAGACACTACATACTGATATACACCTGAACATCAGCAGGAGAAGACTCTTTAAAGTAGAGACACTACATACTGATATACACCTGACCATCAGCAGGAGAGGACTCTTTAAAGTAGAGACACTACATACTGATATACACCTGAACATCAGCAGGAGAGGACTCTTTAAAGTAGAGACACTACATACTGATATACACCTGAACATCAGCAGGAGAGGACTCTTTAAAGTAGAGACACTACACACTGATATACACCTGAACATCAGCAGGAGAGGACTCTTTAAAGTAGAGACACTACATACTGATATACACCTGAACATCAGCAGGAGAGGACTCTTTAAAGAAGAGACACTACATACTGATATACACCTGAACATCAGCAGGAGAGGACTCTTTAAAGTCAAGTCTAATATATTATGATGCATGGAAAAACGATATATACTTCACTTAACTCATCACACACGATAATAACTTATCATTGATGAGCAATATGTGTGTTTATGAGGGAAGTAATGCCCTCATATTACACCATAAATGCATCTCCATGGAAAGTGTTACCAGGGACGTGCACAGACATTTGGAGGGGCTATTGCTCTAAACTGGAAAAAGGGCCACCCCCGAAAAAAGACCTTTTGAAAATTGTAACTTGTTTTTAATGTAAAAGAAACCAAACGATTATTACATTAACTAATTTGAAGAGTAATTCACATCTCATAACCAAATAAGCTAAGGCGACTACTTGCATTCGGTAACTTGATTTAAAAAATGAAAACCAGGGACATTTTTTGTTTTGCGGTCCATATCTCATTAAAATATCTATTGTTAGTAACTATTAAAGACACAATGGGGACAATTCTGTTCTAATGTAGTTTGACCTTTGTAACTGCTGTGCAGTCCAGACATAGGCCTACTGATAAAATAGGGCCTCTAACTAACTACCTTAAATAAACTCACTAATTAATGAAACCAGTTCAATACGAATTATTCTTATTCTTATCATTCTTTATGAGCGCAGTAACGGTAAGGTATCTAATTACTTGTTTATTTAGTATTCCATAACTTAATAACAGAGATGGTCAAACTAAAGTGGTAGAGACATGGCAGAAATCCTACAATTAAGCGGGGCAGTGAACTGTTCACCCGTGAGAGGGCGATCAAGAAAAGAGAGCGAGCGGCCCCGTTGAGGGAGTTTACAGATGAAAAGACACCGAAAGACAGAAGCTCAATAACAAGTAGGCTATATTTAGTTGTTTTTTTGTAAATAACCGACGGTATCAAGAGGAAGTAAAGTCCCCTGATTTGTCCCTTATAACCCAACAGCCATGAGACAACTCAAAATCAAGTTTCCAAAATCCGACACTGAGGTGGTCTTAACGCACCGGCAGATGACAGCGCTGACAAAGTGTGTTTCCCGCAGCGAGACGCTACAATACTAATTGTGGGCTTATCATGTTGATTCGGCCACAACAGAAAAAAGAAAAACAAACTCTCGCTCTCTCCAGAGGGGCAGGTCAGCCAAAAAGGCCAAACGGGCCGTTGCCCGTGCAACATTAGCCCGTACCTGTGCACGTCCCTGAGTGTTACCCCCAACTGCCGCTATTGTTTTCCTTCTGCTCACTTTAACTCTGAGTTTAAGCACGAACAACATCATTCAAAAACACCCCAGCTCTCGTGGTAATGTGTGACTTGTTGGGAAAACAGCTAAAGGACATAGATAATCATTGGGAGTATTCAAAAAATAATTGACAAAACTCCTTCTATCCGGTCATTTTAGGTCTAATGTTTAATCATATTTCATAATTTGTGACAATGTCCAAAGGTGAAGCAAAGGTTAATGATCAGAAAGAGGCGTCTGCAGAGCTTACATAAAGTGTTACAACGGAAACAAAGCACTTTGTAGAGAGAAGTGCAGCACTATCAGGTTAAATAGTGCATCAAATCTATGCTAGGTGAGTAATTCAACTTGTAAGGTAAGGTACGTTTATTTATATAGCACATTTTCAGAGACAGGGGCAATTCAAACTGCTTTACATCATCATTAACACTTAATAAGAAGACAACAGAAAGGAACACAATAAATAAACACAATGGAATAACAAATTCATAAATACCATGCATAAAAGAGATAGTTTAAAAATAACATGTAAATACGGTAGGTGGTAAAACAAGTTAAAAGACTTCTGGGTAAGCAGATGTTGTTGACTTATGTAATACCTTGCTTTATATCTTGTTATTGTTCATTTGTAAATTCAACATGTATATTTTCTACTTTCTTGTTTATTTCTTGTCTTTTAATTTGTATTGGCTACTATGCCATGTCTTTTGATGCTGCTGCAACACAAACATTTCCCAAATTGGGATCAATAAAGTACTTCTTATCTTATCTTATCTTTACAACTTTTTGTCATGAATGTTGGACATACTGTATTCCAACCCAGTGTGTTCTTTTAGACACGCGGTGAAGATGAAGTTTGAGAACATCCTGGAGGAAATTGGCGGTTTTGGACCTTTCCAAATGTTCATACTCGTCCTGCTGTGCGCCCCAAGAATCGTGCTGCCCTGTCACTACATGTTGAATAACTTTATTGCGGCGTTACCTCCTCACCGCTGTGATATCAGCACTCTGGATGATGGAAGACTCTTTCGAAATTTGACCCAGCAGCAGAGACTGACCGTCAGCCTTCCTTTAGGAGAAGATGGCGGCTTCAGATCCTGTGAGATGTTTGCAGAGCCACAGTTTCAGCTCCTGGTGAACGGATCCAAACTCTTTGAGGCGACAACGGTACCGTGTCAGAGTGGATGGGTTTACGACAACTCCACCTTCACCTCCACCCTGGCAACAGAGGTAAGGACACAATGCTTTTATCAGTGATCAAACATTGTGTGAAAGATATCATATAAAACACATTTCAGCGAGCAGACGTTTTGACTTCACCCAAAAATAATGTAGGTGGGGCTAAAACTTTAATAATCACTTAAAGATCTGCCCAAAAGATTATTTTATTTATTCTGAGGAAAAAGTCAACATTTTTAGAAAAAAGTCCGAATTCTGAAAAAAAGTCGGAGGTCTTTAAAAAAGTTGGAATTTTGAGAAGAAGTCTGAATTCTGAGAAATGTAAGAACTCTGAAAAAATGTCTAATTCTGACAAAAAAGTTGTAATTTATAGACGAGAGCAAAACGCGGGACCAGTTAGGATATTTTGAAAAAAGTCGGAATTCTGAGAAAAAAGTCGGAATTCTGAGAAAA